AGCTTGTTCAATACATTATGATAATCAGGGTCCATCGTTAATGGGGCAAAGCGTGTAGGTATGTGACCATTTGATCATTTGATCGCTTGGATGTCATTAGAATCATTAGAATAGCAATTTGGGATTTACCCAATCCCAATTGCATCATACCTTTAACCATACCTTGAACCAAGCATTTGGGTGTCATTTTACATCATCCCAGGGGTAGACTGCCAGGAACTCGTTGAATTTGCGAAGGACAACCAGAGTGGCTATGTGTGGACGCCTGTGCCCAACACAACGGGTGATCTTGGGACTTCTCAAAGATTACAGTTTTCTCGGGATTAGACTTGACCCAATAGATATAGGGACTCAACTTTGTGAATGAAGCCTACAACAGGATACCATATGTTCCCTTCTGGTATGATGACATAGACATGGAGAAGCCAAAGTATGCAGATTATTTTAAACAAAGCCCTGGGTTTTTCATATCTTATCTATGTTGATTTATTATGATTTATTGGAGGCTGCTTATCACTGAATAATGTTTGGTGCATCAGTCTAAAAGAAAAGCACTGTTTTTTCTTATCTTTTCAGGGTTACTATTAGTTGCTCCATGTTAAGCTAATGCGAATGAAATGGGACCGAATATGCCGCAAGTGTGCCATGGAATCAACGTGGGCTCAACCTGGTGACGCCCAGCAGGAAATTCATCGCAAAATACCAAACTATTTTGATAGGATTTTACTGTTCCATGTTTGTAGCTTGGCTCATTATATATTTTCACCACCGCAACAGATGCAAGGCGCTGCCCAGTGATAAGTTGGGCTTAGAACCCCCATTTTTTTCCCTGGGGTAACTAATAACATTGGTGTACTGTATATAGAAAACCCATGGAAAAACAAGTTCGGAAAATGATCTACCTTCGATTTCTGGGTTTTCTACACGATGTTGTTCGTTTACATGAGGGTAACTACAGTTATGTCATGTTATATCTAGCATCAACCCTAGTGAAATGTTAGTTGTAAACCAATTTAGCGAACGAACTGGAACACCACTAGCTGTAAGTTCCCATTCCATCCGCCTCAGTTGGTGCCTGAAGTGTCGGTGTTGTCGACGTCGCTTGGAGATGGGACCTGTGGAGTGCCATGGAAGACTGAAGAGATATGTGGATGGGTCAAGTTACCTATGAATTACCATATTTTGGGGAGTTACCATCCAGCTATACCAGCAAAAAAGATAGGTAGGTACCAGCCGGTACCAGCTATATTGACCCATGACCTTTGGGATGTCACGATGTCACCACTAAATTTGGGGATATGACGACATGATATATCCTGATATGATTTAATTGTCACACGGGTTTATACACCCATGAGACATGGTGACATGAATGAAGAATACTAGGTGTATTCAACTGCAACATGGATGATTTATCCCCTAAATTAATCTAAATCGATGGTTTAGTTACTGGTTCGTCAGGGACGACGAAGAAATTGGATGGGGATACACAATCATTTTCTCACTAGTCTAGAGGAATCCTATTATTTATGAACCAATCAATTACCCTCTGGTAATCAAACATGGCTATAAACAATCCCACATTTATACTGTAGTTTGTTTTTTCCAGCTGTGGGAATCATTGACTTCACATGCCGGTTCCCGAATCTGGTTATATAGTAAAGGATGTCAAGGGAATCATGTCGAACATGTTTGTTTGTTTTTCTTCCATGTGTTTTATCTTTCTTCCAGTTTCTGGAATTATCGTGGGTTGGCGAGATATAGGATTATCAGCAGGGGAAGAACGCCCCCTGTTGTTGGTTCATCCTGGGTGAAGCCGGGTTTGGCTTCCGTTGTGTTTTGGTCTCTACGGAACATGGACCAACGTGTCCAGGTATGTGAATTACTACAATTTGCCTAGATATATGCTGGCAGAAAACCTGCTGTTCGGCATTTGTGTCCTTGCCTCGAGGGTAAACGCTCAAGCAACAAGCAACTTGCGTGGCGCTGGCAAAGTCCCGCCTTCGTCCCACACGAAGCTGATGTGCAGTGCTTCGAGTGGCTATCGGCCAAGTGGTGATGATGTGATGGATCTTCATGTACTATGCCTGGATGGTGAAGGATGCACGTTGAAGCTCAGTGGTTGCACTATGGGATTGGATGTGTACAGACTGGCTTCAAAGCACCTTCCGCCAAAGAAAGGTGGAAAACTGACCCTGCATCACCTTGATTCAAGGCTAGAGCTCAACAAAACATTGCAAGAGCAAGGCGTGGTGGGTGAGGCTGCAACACTCTCTTGCACTTATGTTCCAACAGATCTGTATGTCGCCTGGTGTTCTCTCCATTCTCTCCAAGAAGGACTTGAAGTTTCTGAGGAGCTTGTCTTAGAGGGGATCACGCAGATAGCAGGTACAGCAATGAAATCTTTGCATCATCTCCCACTGATCCTTGAAACCCTCACATTTGGGCCTTTCTTCAATGAGAACCTGGAAGGAGTGACGCTGCCAAGCCGTCTTCAGAGCTTAACCTTTGGCGAAAAGTTCAACAAAAGCCTGAAATCAGTGGCTCTGCCAAGCAATCTTCAGAGCTTGGCGTTTGGATCATGTTTCAACCAATCCCTTGAAGAAGTGACCCTGCCAAGTAGTCTTCAGAGCTTGACATTTGGTGCTGCTTTCGACCAGAGCCTCAGGGTGACAGCCCTGCCAAATTCTCTTCAGAGTTTGACACTTGGCTCGGGTTTCAATCAGACACTGGAAGATGTGACCCTGCCAAACAGTCTTCAGAGCTTAGCCTTTGGCAACAATTTCAACCAGAGCTTGAAAGGGGTGACCCTGCCAAACGGTCTTCAGACCTTGACATTTGGCTCGAGTTTCAACCAGAACTTGGAAGAAGTTGCCCTGCCCAGCAGTCTTAAGAGCTTAGCCTTTGGCCATAATTTTAACCGGAGCTTAAAAGGGGTGACCCTGCCAAACAGTCTTCAGACCTTGGCATTTGGCTCGAGTTTCAACCAGACCTTAGAAGAAGTTTTCCTGCCCAGCAGTCTTCAGAGCTTAGCCTTTGGTCAGAATTTCAACCAAAGGCTGGAAAGAGTTGCCCTGCCGAGCAGTCTTGAGATTTTGAAATTTGGGGATGGCTTCAACGAGACTCTTGCTGGAGTGGCTCTCCCAAGCAGTCTTCAGAGCCTGACACTTGGAGCTGCTTTCAACCAAAGCTTAGAACGGGTGATGCTGCCTCACAGTCTTCAAAGCTTGACATGTCGGTTTGATTTCAAACAGAGTTTGGAACACATGAAGCTACCAAGCATTCTTCAGACCTTGACACTTGGCGGCAAGTTTAACCTGAGTCTTGCAGGAGTGACCCTGCCAAGTAGCCTTCAAAGCTTGACATTTGGCGACGACTTCAACCAAAGCCTGAAAGGAGTGACCTTACCAAGTAGTCTCCAGAGCTTGACATTTGGCTTTGGTTTCAATCAGCGCCTGCAAGAAGTAAAGTTGCCAAGCAATCTACAGAAGTTAAGATTCGGCTATGGTTTCAACAAGAGCCTGGACAGAGTGGTCCTGCCAGGCAATCTTCAGAGCTTGACACTGGGTGGTGTCTTCAACCAATGCCTGGAAAACGTGATGCTGCCCAGATCTCTTCGGAGCTTGATGTTTAGCCATGGCTTCACTCAAACCTTGCAACGCGAGACCCTGCCAGCCAATCTTCAGAGCCTGACATTTGGTGCTGGTTTTAACCACAGCCTGGAAGGAGTTTATTTGCCAGACAGTCTTCAGAGGTTGGCCTTTGGCCATAGTTTTAACCAGAGCCTGGAAAGAGTAATTCTTCCAGACGGTCTCCAGAGCTTGATATTTGGCAACGATTTCGACCAAAGCCTGGAAGGCGTGACGCTACCAAGCAGTCTCCGGAACTTATCCTTTGGCGATGCTTTCAATCAGAGCCTGCAACCAGAGGCTCTGCCAGGCAATCTTGAGAGCTTGACATTCGGCGATGGTTTCAACCAGCCCTTGGAAGGACTGACACTGCCAGCTAATCTGCGCAGCTTGACATTTGGAAACAGTTTCAACAAGAGCCTGGAAGGAGTCACGTTGCCACACACTTTGTCCACTTTCTTGCGCAAGTCTTTAGTTGTAAGCAGCCTGTGACTAGCACTGTACAGAGTGTCAAACCAATGTGATCGGTGGTGCGCTTGGTGCAGTTGTGGTGTCAGCTGAATTGTCAGTTCTTCTTGGACATTGTTGGTTATATCCCAGCAGTTTATAATATATATGTATATAATTGGATATGTGCAATTCTATTATTATAGAGCAGTATTGTCAATATATATATATATATATGTATCTAAGTGTGTGTATATATATATATATTAGAGTGTGTATATATATATATTATGTGTATATATATATATACATATATTAGTGTTTGTTCGTAGTATCCATCCATGATTACACATTAGCAACATATACTTGGTGTGTCATGTCTCCATTAATCAGTATTGATCATTACCACCATTTTGTTGGTGTTTGTTTCTGTTGACCACATCCTGTTTATGCTGTTTATGTTAATAAATTCCTTTTGTTTGGGTAAACCTTGGCAAATCATAAATCGCAACGGTTTGGTTTGCTATGGCAAGGGTTTTGCAATTTTTGGCGTTGCGTTTTCATATCCCACCTATCAATATATAAAATGGCTTCGACAGCTAGTATTTTTCAAGGGCTCCACCACCATCCCGACAAGCAAAGAGGTCTCCAGTTGGTTGGCAGATTTTGACTCTTCAGGGCCTATAGTTTTTTTTGTCGGGGGTAGGGTCCAGCTACACTTGCACTTCGGAAGTGCAGTTCCAGTTCAAATAGTTATAGGAACCCCATATCCCAACAAACAAGGGGGGGTAGTTCACGATGGTTATTAATTACATGTTATTACCCATAAAAGTAGCCTGAATTTTGCACCCCTCTTCATTTGGTGTGTGTTTTACCCACGTGGCCGTGGTCGCCTGGCCGTGGGTTTCATGTGCCGGGGCCGAGGTGCAATCGCTTTGAGCTCTACTTTGCCTCCCCTGACACTTGGCGAAGCCCTCGTTGAATCATAAAAGCTGATGGGGCCAAGGGGCGTTCTAGAACCAACAAATCAAGTATAGTTATGATTTATAATCAAAGCATATTTACAGTTAAGGTTGTAGTTCATGGAGTCTGTAAACCAACACAACTGAAGAACACTACCTCCAGATACTCCGGATGGCCTTTGGACCAGTTCCAGTGCGATGCTTCGCTGATGATCTCGTATAAAGTAGATTTCAATATATATGTGGAGGTTTCCTAACTGCTGGGGGTACCCAAAATTATCCAAGTCAATGACCATGACGACTATTGAAACCCATGGTTTTTCCGACTGGGGATCCTCCATTTTAGGACACCCCCCTATGAATGTGTCTATCATATTTGGATCATTTGGATCAAGTTGAAACCAGCTGAGCGAAGCGTACACCGAGAAGTTGTCTTCGAAGTCAGTCACGATTCAAAACTCAAGACCTGCTTGGAACCACAAAATCGTGTTCAATGCTCTTCTTGTTATCAAGCGATGTTTTTTGGTGGCCCAAAACCCCGTGATTTTATTTGATTTTGATGGATTAGATCGCAAATTAATGTGCGTAGTTCTTCCAACATGAGATACTGAGAGGCTTTCATGGTCAAAAATCTCTGCTTTTTCGGGGACTTGATTCTTTTCGCTCCCCAAAGTGGCAGCATATTTTCAACGGACCCATTCCATTCAGGAAATGAAGAAGTTTGACGCTGTTGAGTTGGGACCCCGGAGACAGCAGTTCACCCTGGTGGACACCAAAAAGGTGGATCACATGAAACGGCCCTCAGAAAACATGGTGGATGTTGGGGTTAGCAAAATATGTGATAAGACATTTTAAGACCCTACAATGGGGCTGTTTTTGGAGAGATAGTTGTTGTATGTGTTGTTTTTTTTGTGAGAAGCCTCAGGTTGATGGGAAACACCATAATAGTTTCCTTATGTTTGCTCTGTATAAAGTTTCTCTGGAACTCCAAAGCTCATGTCGTTTGTGTCTAGTAGGTTTACTTAGGTTTACCTACACTTGATTGGGATGGAATTTGGGCAGCGAATATGCTGTACCAGCGTTTAGCGGAGCATATGGCTAATATATGGAAACATGCTGGTTCACGTATATGCCAAACAGAATCATCAGCCACTGATTTTTCTTTTTTTGGTACCAGTATCTACCACGTCATTTGGAATCTCTGGGTAAAGTTTGCTACGTGGTAGTTATTTCCTGAACTATGAATGAAGAAACTTACCACTTGCCACCGAAAAAAATGTATGGGGATTAGATCTAGCTGAACCATCGCGGTCTCACTGGCCGATATCACAACAGATGATGCTTCGAAGGGGAAAGCATCCCAAAATGACGAAACACATTTCAGGTTGGTGAATTCAGCCATATATTTGTTGCCCACAGTCACATTCCTTCATGCTTTTATGTGCTACAATACACCGCCCCACTATACCTGTTGTGGCTGGTAATTGACCCCATTTTGCTATTGACATTGCCTTTTGATGAACATTCCTTTGATGGCAATATTGTGCGCGCATATCTAGTCCAATCATTCGTGCTGATAATCCCACAAATGATGAACATGGTACCCTGTTCTTCGTATCTTGTTGATTCTAAACCCATTTTGTTCGCTGAAATCTCCGCGTTGATTGGTAGATTAGACTCTCCGTTTTTTGCTTATTTTGTTTGTTGGATCATTGAACATGTGTTCTTTTGAAAGATGAAATATATTTTAAAATCAAACAACGCCCAAAATTGTCAGAGAAACACTGCCTGCTTTCAGGGCTGTGCACGCCTTCCTCAGTCACAAGTCTGGGCTGAGCGCAGAGGATCCTGCTTTGGTCGACCAAAACGCCCTGTGGCTGTGTCGGAAATTGTGGTACACCCTCTTACAAGGTGGGCCTCCACCCGTTATAAGTCGGTGTATAAACCCCATGAACTATAGTTATATACTCCACAAACCCTGACAGGTCACCTTAGCTATTTAGGGGGCCCCCACCCTCCTAAGATTGCCACTTGGGGAAAAAAAAGGGACAAATCATGATACCCCATTAAATTTTCAGACAAATCCAAATGCAATTTTAAGTAACATGGTTTTGAGCGTTTAACCAACCAACCTAACCAACAGATGAAGTGTTTCCAACCATCGGACCCACCCTATTTTCGGTCATTTTTTGAATCGCGACATATGCAAACACGGATCATAAGTCATAACTTTAGGATTTGGGAGGACCTATATGTTTGGATCAATATGGATAAAACCACAATAGTTGCACATTTTTATTGCAACAAGACTGGGACATACCCACTTTGTTGCTCACAGTATAGACAGTATATATATATACACATACATATTATAGATATACATGTATATATATATACATGTATATATATATATGTATACATAATATAATTGTGTATATGAACATTATATACATTTATATACTGTATATACGTAGATGTAGAGAGTGACATATGTATTTATTTGCATGTTATATATATATATATATTATCATTGTTTTTTCAAACACATGTCCATTCTAGTTAGGATTATCTAATTGAAATTCCATCTTCTATCTACTCCAGGATGACTATATAGCTATAAGATACAGTAATTATGTTCCACTTGGATTTTCAACAAGTCCTGATTGTCACATCGACCGCAGGAGTTGGAACCCTATCTCTTCAGCCACACTGGGGAAGATGCCATTCAGCATCTCTTTGAGGCTCCGAGCCAGCTCCGGCGGTGGAGGTGAGTTGAGTGCAAAATTGATAGATCAATGAATGATTTGATCCATGACTAGTGGGAAATGAATGATTTAGTGTAAACAAAACTGCGGATGAACTTTGGTTTCATGATGATTTAAGGATGACTAATGTAATTTACCATGAAATAATGGGAAATGGAAGTTACCACCGACCCCACCAACCACTTACAATTGCTGGCTTATCAGATATTGATACATAGTATTAACTTTCCAACAATATTATGTAGATCATTTAGTTCACCATGGATACGGGACTGCTTTGACCAATGCCTTGTCCAGTTGCAAGTCGCTCAACGGAGCGGAAGGACCATGGTGGGTTCCATGGCAATCTTTCTGCGAATGTGCAAAAGGTCCAAAAGGTATGTTTGATGGATTTTGATGGTGATATAAACATGTTGACCATTGTGAAAAAAATGTTGACCCTTCAGCTGCATGGTCATTCTTGACCAATTCCTCCCAGCGAGTTGCCGTTTGTACAACTGCCCAACATATCTGTACAGCTGCAGCAGATATGTCCCAATAAATTACAAAAGCCAAGAGTTTGCACAGATCTTTTCAGCACTTTTAACCAACTTACCATAACTTTCATATCCACTGCAATTACATGTGCAGATGCGGCTTGAATGGTTGGACGGGCTGTAGGACTGCTGGTGTTTCCACAGGTCAGATGCTACTCTGTTGTTTGAATCATGTTAAACTCAATGAGGACACATCAATCATCCAGACTTTTCCTATGTATTCCCATGGTTTTCCCATGCTTTTCCCATGGTTTTCCCATGGTTTTCCCACGTTTTCCCAATATTTTTGTTGCCGAACCCATGGTGGAGAAATGTGGAGCAGGTGAGTTCTGGCCTCGACTCCTTAGTCCTGGGCGAAGCGCAGATCTTGGCACAGGCGTGGAGAGGATCGTGAATTCGTTGGGAGTTGTACTACCAATGAACCAGGCATATTGATGATGATTATTATCAAAGGAAGTTTAGTTAGAAAACTTCTGAGTTACGGACGATTGTCATGGCCAGCATTTTCACCATCATGTCAACCACAACATCATCATGGAGTTATATTATATATATACCAGTAGTTCAATATATGTTGGAAAACATTGAAAAATCGCCTGGTTTGAATATGATAAGTGATGATTGATTGGTTATAGTGGGACCATATGAATGATATTACTGGGTCAACATTTGTTAGATATGAAATAGTACTTGTTTTTTGCTATCAATGGTAAAATTTACTAACCAGCTAAACAAAGTGTTTTTTTTTGACAGGTATCTAATATTCACCATGATAGTCTCTAATGATGTATTATGATGTATTACAATGGATTATAATGGATAATGGCCTGGTTGATTGGGTATGAAATAGGGAGTTATACTACCTAGGCTATTGGTAGAGAAACCTATCAATCAACTAGTATTTCATGAGTTGGGATAGGGCTACTCTTACAGGCTCATATTGGTGTGTCCAGAAATGGTGTATGCGGTATACCGGTAATACCCCAGGATAACTATCTAAATAATCCTAAATAGGACAATTGTCAAAAAACGATGACTTAGGCACACTCTATCTTCAGACCAACTAACCCTTTGTAAATCCTTTGTATACATAGCGCAATATTCTAAAATATAATATCATGATGCTCCCCAATGAATAGAAAAGCAACGTTTCTCAAAAGAGGTAAATATTATTTCTAGCATTGCATATTTTTGTTTCTTTCGTTCGCGTCGTACTGTTAGTACAGCAAGCTATACCCGTTCCTTGCACGTGACCAATCTGGATGATATTTTGCAGGACCTATAAAACGACGATCCACCAAGACTGCCGTGATTGATCATCAAATCTTGTTTGGTCAAATCTTACCGAATCTAGATTTCAGGTTTCACAAAATAATAACAAAAAAAAACAAACTACACTAGTCAATAATACAGAGCGGAATTTCATAATCGATGTTATGGGAATCCCATACAGTAGCAATGCAAATTGCTGGATTCCCAGATTCATGTTGATAAAAAACAGAACATTAACCAGTTGATATGGGTTTGTCGAACAACTACGTACCTCAAAATCTAAGTTTATCATTGTTTTCCTAGTAAAATGGTCATTTGTATGGTATATCTCATTTTCAGATAGATTCATCATCAAGTCAGCATAAGTCAGCGGAATTCCGGACCGGGTCGTTCACTTCACAGCCTTCTCAGGTGAAAGCATGTCACGAGTGACTTGGCCGAACAAAAAACACCTTGGTATGTAAATGACATGTCCATATGCTGCATGGTGCTAGAATATTTACCAACATTTACCCCAACAATAGCCCTAATGTATCCTAATGTTGGCAACTATTCCATACATGGAGCATATGTTTTGTTGTTGCCAAAAAGGTATTTTAAGAAATGATGTGATGTGTTTTTTTAATGTTATTTTATACCCCATTTTAGAGGTAATCATAGGTTTACCATAGATATTTAACCCAGCAAGTAGGGGATTTCAATCATATACACCGATAAATCACCAGCCGACCTCACCATCTATTCATCCGCTATAGACCTGCCTGGGTGATCTCTTGGTTTCACTACAGCAAAGCCATCCACTTTGTTTTGTTTGGCATATTTTAAAGTGGGTAAATCATACAGTATTCCATGGTTGATCCTATTTTAAGCATTATTGAACCATCAAGCCATGATGATTTCGTCGGGATTTAATCCTCCAAAAAAAATGGGGGGGTTCACGGTTCAAGCAACAACATCAACAGACATCAGTTACAACAAACATAGGGATTTCATCCACTTCCCAGGGAAGTGGTGTTACACCAAGCCATGGGTACCAGCCAACAAGGGTCATGTGAGAAAGGAATGTGACCCCCCTTTGATTGGAAGTCATTGGAATATCTTTAAAACACAAAGGACACAGTGACAATGAAGGAATTTTCATGCAATTTCCTAAGAAACTACCCATTCTCATCGACTTTGACAAGTATTTTTCATGCCTTGGGATGCTGAACTCGCTCATTTGGTTTTGACGACTTGGTGGAGCGCTTTCGCCGCCAGCAGATCTCATCTCATCATCTCAAGGGAGGATTCAAAACATGATGGGTTTTGGATCCAGTTGGACCTTAAACTGTGCCTCATACCATTTCACTGGACCTTTGGCCGCCCAGGCATGCGATCCAGAAAATCTCTGAGGACGTGCCTGTGGCAGGGCCGCGGGGACCCAGAAGTTCGTGGGGACCTTCCCTTGCAACCGGTGTTTTTGTTGCGCAGCGTAAGGCTAAAACATTACTTATACTTATGATTATACTTAAGAGAGATTTCAGATAAAACCACTATGGGAATTCTTGTCAAGCAACTAGTAGATGGAAATGAGAGAAGGTGAACAGGGACTAAAATGCACATGAAAAACATGATTTGCAAACCTATTTCAAAGCTGCGGTTTTCTGTCGTTGCTTTTTGAAATGGTCATTAGCAGATAGATGGCTGAGGAAATACAGAGATGAAAGGAACTGTGGCCTGAACTGCTTGAGATTTACAGGATAGCTGCAACACTGCACCCTTAAAATTTGATTCATGAAAGGTGTTTAACTGTTTAAAAGTACATAAACAAATACTGGTTGATGGTTTCACACATTATTTTCCATCCGACCTGGGATAATAATCCAAAGTTAACCAGCAAGTTGCATGTTCCACAAGCCGGCGCCCCCTGAGTCATAAGTTGGTTTATAAATCCCCATTAACATGCATTAACCACCCTTAGAGCTACCCAACTTATTACAATCCATACCCAATAAAGTCCATAATTTCCATAAACCCTATATATAGTTATATTAGTGATACACTAATCTAGCTAAGTGGCACCAGGGGGGCAGCACGTGACTCCAGGGTCTTTCCATTTCTCGCACGCATTGAGGTCAGGTGGAAAGATCGTGGCAAAGATGTTGAATGCCGCGTGGGATGACTCAGAAGTGGGGATTCATTCAATAGACATGAGATTTATGTTGGATGTATGGATGTTCTTTAAGAATTTTAATATGATTCAATTAGTTAGCAAAATCCATCCCCGTGTGAATTTCCCCTAGTAATGACCTGGGTCCCGAAAAGTGAACCAAAAAATTACAGATAAATTTCCAGAAACCATTTAGTAGAGAATCATGTTGTTTCAATAAAAATCAAGTAAACATCTCTAGACCCATGATCCACATTTAGTAGAGAGGTAAAATTGATATGTTAGTCGAGTCATGTTGGTCTCTTAAGTAAGAAACGTCGAAAATATATCAAAATCTCGCACTTCAGCTGAACCAAGGGCCCACATGTAGTAGTGAAATTCGATCATGCATGTACATTTAGTAGAGCTTGAGGCTATGCAAAACGTTTCTTTACTACAAAATGCGTACACAGCCTTCACCTTAAATTCACAGGAGGATGAAAATCCAGGATTTCACCACCATGTGGATATTCAATCAACCATCGGGATGAATCATCAAGCGTTTAATGAGGATGATAAGACCACAGCTGATGTGTTCTGCGTTTAATCAACATGGTGATATGCGATAAAACCATATAAAACTATTATAAAACCCTTAAAATGTGTTGGTTGCCAATCCATGAATCAGATAATCAGCATGAATCGAATTGCTTGGTTTCAAGTGCGGTCAAACGGGACGACTGATTTTAGCCAAGCAACATGGGTGGCGCGATCCCTCTGATGGTGGTCCAGGCAGCCAGGGTAGATTCAGGGAGGGTCACCATGGGGAGGGTATCTACCTGGATTTCCCAGTACTGGTGACAGCATATCCAAGACCCAACTTTTGGGCAAGATGATTTGACATAGGTCAACCAATTCTCAAAAGATCCGACCTTGGGCTAATCATTCAAGATCATTCAAGTATGGAGCTATGCTGAAAATATGTGTGATTATGTGAGGATATATTTGCGTGTGTGTGTGTGTGCGTGCTTGTTTGTGCATCTAACTATATATATTATTACATTGGTTACAGTAAATAAGATTGTTAAATTATGTTGATGTGTACTTTCTGATAGATTTATCCGAAAAAATGCAGCGCGTGCACTCGTTCGTTTTGCCGTTGGGTATCAATTCATCATGCAATTGCACAAGTCCAAACTGGACAGCAGATTTCAGATGAACTGTTGTGAAAAACTAAGTTTCCTCCTGCGAAGTAGAGTAGACCATGTCCCTGTATTCTGTATTCTTGATCTCCTTGATGTTGTCTTCCTACAATTCGCAAATGATCCTTCATAGATGGTGCCAGCCTGCCAGCTTACTCGTAGCAGTGAGGCCTGACAAGTCTCCAAAGCGCTTTTAAACAACGGGCTATCTAAGCAGATGTTTTAAGTGAGTAATCACTGCCCACAGCTTCAATCAAGTTATCCCATCAACAGTCCCACGAGGTGGGCTTCTCAAACCCTGCCATTTTTACAACTCCCATGACTGGGGATGGTTTGCATATACCACCCATAAAAATTGCTGCTGACTTGGGGATGGCTCATTTGGGTTTAGCACATAAAATGGTTTTTGTAACAAACATCACTGGGGCCCAGCTTGTCCTAAGATCAGCCTTGCCTCGTCCCACGCTAAGGATTCGCATGGGCAAATTGGTACGCAGCCGAACCAAGATTGGAAAAGGCAGATGATGTTGACATTGATGGTCTCGAGTGGTCTCATGCTGTGCCTGAAAATGAGGTATATACACCAACAATGGCAGTTTTGAGAGGTTTAAGAGGATGATTGATTAATATTGATTAATGGAATCCATCGGATTTAGGGTTACCATTTTTTTGGCAAAAGCTAAATATGTAAGTCTTACAGTAAGTGTCTTCAGAACTCCAGGTCACCGTTGGAAAATGGTTGCCACAAAGATGTGAGGACACCCAAGAATTCAATCTAAAGATCCTTCAAAACCATCTTCAACCGCCCGGACCTTTTCACATGACATAAAGTTGACAAAAGGAGTTCCATATCAAACTTGTATTTGTTGCACATCTTTCTCAGCTTTACCGGTCCGAAAAACCCCTTGCAGGATTGGTATATCTTGGTACTTCGTCATTCCTTCCCCTCCTGGTTGGTGGTTTGGAACATTTGGATTATTTTCCATTTCATATATGGGATGTCATCCTTCCCATTGACGAACTAATATGTTTCAAGATGGTTATTGCACCACCAACCAGCCTCAATCTCTTCCCAGCTGCCAGTGTCGACGGCCGGTGACAGGTTCCGTCTCCGTCTCCAGTGCTGCAGTGGAATTGATGATGTCCAGGCCTGATCCTTACCAAAACGGCGACGGATTTTGGTGATGGGAGAAATTTCTCGGATGTGTCCGGCCAAATTTGATAAGGACATATTTAAGAAAAGGGATATCCTGTATATATATATATATATGATGATATATATATATATATGTATACAATGGTAATGTTATTTGGTTGGTTGTACTAAAGTGGGGAATCCCTAAATCATGGGAATCGAACTAAAGTGATTTTTCTTGATTGATGGGATCACGACAGTGGGGCCAGCCCTATTTTTTTTGGACCATGCCGGAGTATACCCATTAATCAATGGATTGGTTGATGGGAAAATCTACAGGAAACCATGGTTTTTACCGTCAAATATAAGGCTTTCCTGTAAATTTTCCCATCATCCAATTCTATGAATTCATGTTTTACGTGGTTCATTAAAAGTAATGTGCTGGTCATTACATGGGTTTATTGTTTGTTTTTGTTTTTTTTCCGTCTGGTCTTTTAGAATGCAAAAATGGGGAAACCCATAATTATGGGCTGTTCCTGAAATGGGGGTACCCCGAAATCATCCATGTTAATGGGATTTTCTATTATAAACCATCCATTGTGGGATATCCATTGTTGGGGAAACCCTCATATTTTAATATATGTCTTAAGCCATCAGCTGGTGCTCTTGTTGGGTCAGGGCGATGCAAGACTTGCGAAAGCCTGCGAACAAGCTGCATGCGGCAGCCTGAGAGTGCGGCGCTGCGGTTTCATGTGGAGTTGGCCCCTTGTTGTTTGTTTTGTTTAATGGGATTTAATGGGATATACTTGGAGGTTCTGAAAATGGGAGATCCCCAAGTCACCATAGGTTTCAATACCAAAATGGTCTAGTTTGGGATGGTTTGGGGGTACACCCATTTTGGGAAACCTCCATGTAACGAACTAGACTATATTTGGGTGCGCCTGAAAATGGGAAATTCACTACTTGCAAAAAGTTTCGACTGGCAAATGCCGATTTCAATCTTTGCGTTTCACTGGGGAAACCAAGCGGCTGGGTTTGGAACAACTCATTTGTTCCAAGACTGGGAGTGAGTATGGAAGGATGGATGAATGCATGCATGAATACATGTGTATATGTATGATGTATTATGTATGATGTATTATGTATTATGTGTATGTAAATGTATATAACCCAACCAGCACCAGAACAGGTAGACTTTTTAGTACCAAATCATGGAAGAATCGATTGGAGCTTCGCCATGTTGCATCGCCTCAGCGCTGTAGGTGTCCATTATTGGCGCGGGAAAGATGTCAAGGTGAGCCGATTCGCCCTTGACCTTGGGCCATGAGAAAAACCATCAAGGCATCAAAGGAACGGTGATTTACAGGTTTTGTTTTACCATTGGCTGACAAAACCAGTAACACATTGGTAAAACAATTGGCTGTTAATGGGTTATGTAAAACCATTATCAATAAAACCAGTAACATCAAATAACATCAAAAACTGATGTTATTTGGACCAGCAACACATTGGCTGACACTACACTGTTATTCATGTTCACCCTTGGGTTTCATTGGGGGATTGACCAATAACAATGAGGATTAGCTCAACATAAGACGGACAACCCACCGGCAAACGCAAAGTTAGTGTTTCATCGTACAAGGTGAGGCCCCCCTGTTGTAGGTTGGTTTATAAACGAATTAACCATACGGTAACGATATTTAAATATGTGAAGGGCGGGCCAGACTTCGTTTTTTTTTTTTTTATGTAGTTACCGTAGATATATCTACCTTAAAGCCATAGTTGTTATATCCCCTATTCATCCCTATTCACCCAGTGATTTGCATCAAGCGATTTGGTTGACCGGGACCTTGTAGATCAGCCGCGTTGGCGGCACCATCAGTAGGTGGTTATTCACAATCCATATCAATCCATGTAATTACTTACTGGTGCTTAGTAGGGAATGGATGGGACTGGGGGAATGGGATGATTATTACTAGTGATTATGGATCATTCCCTCATTCCCTGCTAAGCACATCTAAGCACCAGTAAGTAATTATAGCCCACATATCAGTGGATTACAACCATAAGTGGATTACAACCATAGACGATAGATACGAACCACTTAGTATACACGGGATGCACATCATTCAGTAACCATGAAGACTGGAGCCCATACCCTGGATTTGCTCTAGCATATGTCTTACTGTCCCAATGTGAAATCCACTAGGGAATCCATAGGGAATCATTTTCACTTCTTGGGCTCAAGCAAATCCAAACATATTTCATATTTTGATATATTTTGATATATTTCGGAACGTGACCTTCCCACTTTCCGACCATCAACACATCACAACCCGGCTTGTTCCACAACCAATCCTTGAGCCGAAGTTGAAATCAGGGGTCCTGTGACCTTCGTTTTCTTGACCATGTTTGTATGAGCCATACATGTTTGGAAGTTCCATCCACAAAAAAAAACATGTCTGGTCTAAGAGTCCCTTGGCATAGCATGTTTTGCTTCGTCCGTTTGAAAGCAACGTTGGTTTTTTCCCTCCGATGGTCGATCGTGTGTCGTTTCATGTTGGTTCTTCCATTCGATAAGAAGTACTGTATGCAAAACGGTCAGTCAAGGTTCCATTCATAACATATGATGACTATACACTCTACATACACGTCTCAGTTTTCTCCATTCAAGGAATGACAAGGCCAGAGTACCACCCATGGTGCTCCCAGTAACCTCAGCGAAGGCTGTTGCTTCTGGCACTCTTCAGCAAACATCCGGACATTAAGGCGCTGGTGGGTCTATCCCTGTGTCCAAAGCTGGGTTGTTTTTTTTTTATTATTGGGGTATCTCAACATCTCCTACGAATTTTATGGAGGAGAATCAGGAGAATGGTGATTTTTCCAATGAGAAAGCACTGGATTTTGGATGATTTTGGGGTATCCTATTTTCAGACAGAGGGAGGATCTGATCATGAACACTTGGGATTTGACTGAAAGAAGGCTCCGGGAGAAGTTGTTTTTGCGATTTCCCGTGGATTTACCTTCCAATATGTGGCCAGTTGAATGGGGAAGTTCCTATGATTTTTTCTGGATCCATGAAGCTGGGACATTTATGGAAATCTATGGTTGAGGAATGCTTACTGTAAATTGCATAGGAACTGGGGATGAAGATGGACTAAGATAAACATTTGGGTACCCAGTCTCGAGATATACCCATGCAACATCATGCAACTATGAATTATTGCAGCCGGTTCCGGCTACGTTAGTTAGGAATGTTTGGGACAGGTTGATCTGATCTATGCTGGATTCGTGCACAGTAGGGGTTATAAAAAGCCGATGCGCGGAGGTTCTGGAAATAATCCTGGTCATGGGGTATGGCATTATGGAGCAGTGTGGGAGTTCTAGTCTACTCTTGACGTGAAAAAAACTATTTTTGAATGTCAAAATCGGCAGTTGGTGAAGCATGGAAAGTAGTTTGGCTTCCAGCCGGAATGGCCCAAACATATCCCCAAAACGAAGGTGTCCGGATGAATCGGAACCGGGTTTTGCCGGAAGAACATCAAAGCAGGAATGGAGTGACCAAAAATGCATCAGAAGCATTGTTTGGCTTCTTCAAAGGCAAAACCGTGATATTTATGATGTGAGTTTGGTGCTTGAAGGCGTCTAGATCTCGCATGAAAATGGGATGCAGGACCTTCATAGTCAAGAATGTTGGATCATTTTGGTGCACCATTACTCAGGTGTGGCTACATTATTTCAATATATTTCAATGCGGTTTTACCACTCTGCAATATAGGTTTCACAGATGCTCCTTTTGAATCCTTTTGATGGTGACCCTATGTTACCCTAGCAGTCTCAAACGCGGTGGCGGTACCCTTCAAGGTCTAATACAGTTACAACCCCAATCAGATCCGATAGAACATCGCAGCGCGTTCGAGTTAGAGCTATCCAGCTATCCATGACTTGAACGGACATGTTACAGAAAAAAAGGCTGTTTGTCTATCGAAGAAGCGTGATTTCCTTCATATTTCTTCTAATTCAGCCACATGAAGTTAACATTAGTTGTCTGTTTGTAGTTTTGCAATATAATATACTTGTCCCTGGGAGCAATTGGTACAATGTGTGGCCCCCAGGATAGACAAGTTGGTTAATTTCAATATAGATTTTACAACATTCTTAGATGGGCTTATAAACCAATAATAGAATAGGTTTCCCCTAGATCCACTCGTTGATCATTAAACCACTAGAATATGGTACCCCCAAATTCCACCCGTTGATCAGGTGACCCTGGTGAATCGCTCTGTGGAAAAAGCACAAGAGGTCTTGGATGATGACATGGCGTGAAGCTCAAGCGCTTGGAGATCCGGGTGTATCTGAAAATGGGAAGATATGGGAAGTATACACGTCATGGCCACTATTCACTGTTTTGTGGGGATATGTTTGATTGGCCAGTGGATGGGGTACCCTTATCATCAAAATGGTCTCCTACGAGCCCCTAAAAAAAAAAAAAACATCAGCTGTTTTGGACTCTCCCTCAAAGGATGTTAACTCACGTTCATCCATTTCATCCCCATTTGACCTCGCGAAAAAGTGCTTTTCAACACTTTCGCTAACATAAAATTATGAATCGACTATAAATTACCATGTTCCTTGCTGAAATCCCAATGGTCGCAGGTGAAATTCCCCCGTTTTCACCACATGTTTGATATGTTTGCCAGTTACAGCACCATTTCTGTGGCATTCTTTGCTGCTTCCAGTGGCAGAAGGTCAAGAATCGCGGCGGCGCCAATGCCTCGGTAGCGCCACTGGCATCTCGGTAACGCGGGTGGTCAGTGACCGCTGGTTGGTGGTGACTGGAACAATAATGCTTTCCCAATTAATAGTGGTTAATAGTGGTTAATAGTGGTTAATAGTGGTTAATAGTGGTTAATAGTGATTAATAGTGGTTAATAGTGGTTAATAGTGGTTAATAGTGGTTAATAGTGGTTAATAGTGGTTAATAGTGGTTAATAGTGGTTAATAGTGGTTAATAGTGGTTAATAGTGGTTAGTGGTTAATAGTGGTTAATAGTGGTTAATAGTGGTTAATAGTGGTTAATAGTGGTTAATAGTGGTTAATAGTGGTCAATAGTGGTTAACAGTGGTTAATAGTGGTTAATAGTGATTAATAGTGGTTAATAGTGGTTAATAGTTGTTAATAGTTGTTAATAGTGGTTAATAGTGGTTAATAGTGGTTAATAGTGGTTAATAGTGGTTAATACTGGTTAATAGTGGTTAATAGTGATTAATAGTGTTAATAGTGATTAATAGTAATAGTGGTTAATAGTGGTTAATAGTGGTTAATAGTGGTTAATAGTGGTTAATGAAATATCTGCTTGGTGGTTTGGAACATGGCTTTTATGACTTTCCATTCTGCTGGGAATAAGAATCCTAACTGACGAACTCATATTTTTCAAGATGGTTGAAACCACCAACCAGATTAGTGGATTACGTTTTTTCTTCCCTTGGCTGATTGTCCGTATACAGGTAACTAATAAGACTCATCCCACTGAGAGAAGCGACTTGAACCTCCTTCGAAATTATCGTTCATAATTGCAAATCAAGGACCAGTAAGGTTTCCATTTATGTCTAAATTTACGTGAATCGCCCAAAGATTGACGATTGCAAAGCATGGAGGCTTGAAACATGCCGCCCAAAGCTGAACCTTGAAAGGTGTATTTAAGTGCATGTTGAAAGCTTTAAGGGTTTT